TCTAGAAGTTGTTTCTCGAAGATTACATTTGCGATTATCAAGACCATTTCTATTAATATGATCAATCATTTTATATTCAAGATAAATCATTCGATGTAATTTTCGATGTAATTTTATAGTTTTATTTTTAATATGTGTTTCAATATAAAATATATATCTATGAAATATAGTATACCAAGTATAATTTTCAATTAGATTGAAATTGTCGAGGTCAGTTAAAAATGTGACATTAGGTTTCTGTGTTGATACTTCGAGAAATAATGTTGCATCGATTTCAACTATTCGATAAGAATTTGATTTTCTTCGAGGTTTAATAATTGGCAATTTGTTCCATGCTGATAATACTTCAAATGAATCAAATTTTGTTTTCCAAAAGGATTTATTAGATTCTTCTTCGAGTGAATATATTTTTAGAATTTTCTAATTAAAGAATTTATCGAATTTATATAATTTTCAATTTCTCTGAGTCAAATTCAAAAAAAAATTTTTAACCAATAATATTTTTAATTTATTAAAATCTTTATTCAAAATCATTACATACAAAAATAAATAAAAATTTGGTTCAATCAGTCATTGAATTTTAAAAAAAAAACTCAATGTGCAGTTCCACTACGAGCAAGCTTGAACCATGGAACCAAAAAAAAAAAAAATGAAGAGCCAAGATTTCAGGGGAGATTGTATGTCAGACCCCAAGCCATAATGACACAAAGATAGTAAATTTCAAAAAAAAATTACTATCACAACCTTTCTTTACGCTCATCCATTCAAAAGAAAAAAAGCAAACTTAATGAGGTTTGCCATCGAAATTTACAAGAAAACTGTTCATTAAATTATTTTGAGAACTAGGTATCTCAAAAATCAAGCATCTCCAAGGTAGAGCTTCATGGACTGGATCTTTATTTTTGTTGTAAAACATACAAAAACATGATCACACACAGAAGTTACAGAGGACAACGATACCCGAACAGCCAACTCAAATCATGCTACTGACAATGATTATCATAGTTTTTAGCCAGAATTGCACTACTTGGTACATTCTCCCAAGATTTTAGAAAGAATTATAAAAAAAAAATGACGAGTTCACTCTTCTCTACTATATTGAAAAAATTTTATGCATGAACTTTATAGGAATTCTGTTTAGAATAGTTTAAACTATAGAAGCTCAGAGGCCCTAGTTTCAAAATGTGCAGTCATCGAAGAATGAAACAAGTGAAGTGAAAATTTTTGCAAATCGTTAAGACATATATATAATTATCATACTAAATATAGATTACTATTAAAAAATCGTATGATAATCATTTACTAAAAATAGATTAATTAAAAGAAAATTCCTATCGAAAAAAGTATAAAAACATTGATAAACTGATAAGAATAAAAAAAAATTTATTTATAATACAATAAAATTAATAAATGAAAATGTATTATCTTTTAATAATTCGTTCTCAAAAATTTATCATGTAAGTATACATAATATATTTAAAAAATAATATGTACATATGTAAACTAATGAAAAATTAGTATGACAGCTAATGATAATCTCGAAAACATTGAAATAAAACTTTTAAGAGCAAATACTAAATTACAATCTATTAATGAAAGATGTGATCAACTCGAAATTGATCATGAAATTATTAAAAATAATGAAATTGAAAATTTACTTCAGAAAATTCATCTCTTACAAGAAATTATCAAAGAAAAAAGCAAGATTGAAATTTATTTACAAGAAATCGTTAAAGAAAAAAACAAAACTGAAGAAAAATCTCAACTAATTATTAATTTATTAACAGAAAAGAATAAAGAATTAGAAACTAGAATTAGTTATTATGAAAATAATAGTAATAATAATAATCTTATGAGTCATTCAGAGTCCTAATTAATTTTTATTATTTTGAAACTTTTTTTAACTATATACAATTAAAAAATCATATAATAATCATTTGTTAAGAATAGTTAAACTTGACATTTTGTTTATTGTTATTAAATATATATACATTATCATTAAATTAAATAAAAAAATTTATCTTACTATTTAACTATTAATAAAAATAATTTACAAATTCAAATATTCTATAAAATACTATTTTATACAACTATGCCTTGTCGATTGAGAAAGGCTACATCACATAAACTTATAGTTATCAAAATGTTCTGATAAAAAAAATAATAACCTCTTTACGACTAACCATCCATTTTCTTTTGTATGTGGTTAAGAACATTCACAAAGTTCCCAACCTTGATGGAACTCTAAATCAACAGTTCCAGTTCCATCATTTAAATCTATTCGAGTTGCTTTAACTTGATATGTTTCAAGCCATTCTTTGGCTTGAACAGCAACATTTACAACATCATGAACAGTTGGGTTTGCTTCCAACTCTTCAGCAGCTTCTTCTCGATACTTTTCTTTAAAAAGAATGAGGTATTTAAAACCAAGACTTTCTTTAGTAGCAAGGTTTTGACGCATTTTATTATATTGTTTCTTTGTTAATTTTTTAAATTTTTTTTTGTTCAACGAGTTGCAGGCATTTTTTATGGTAATTTACTTTTTGATAAGGCTGAAACATTGAAAATCCTTAAACTTTATACAAAGAATTTTAGAACTTTCGAACAAAGAATCATTGCAAATTGAACACTAATAGTTTATTAAAACTTAAATTTGTACATATTAAATTATATAAACAATAATAAAATTATAAATATTGATATGTGCATGAACAAATCATTTTTTGTTATTTAAAATATTTTGAATCTTTAAAAATTCCATTTTTGATCTTGGTTCAGGACCCCGTTTCTTTTTCTTATCTGATAATTCACAAGGAATTTTTCGTTTGATGCATTAGGCGCAAGGCCTCTGATCAATACATTTAAGCTTTTTAAGTTGACAGTTTTTGCATGCAGATGTAACATTGAATCGATATGTTGTTTTCATTTTACTTATATCATTAAAAAATTTTTTAAAACATTTTTATAATTTTTCCGGATAAACTATTCTAAATAACTCTCTTTAATAAACACATTAATAGAAATGATTTCCAAATTCGAATGTTCTATGAGAATTTTTTTTCAGCCTTTATGATTATCCTTCTTTGGAATAATAAATAAAAATTAATAGTTCCAAATTTATTCTTATTATTTAAACTTTATTCTTCGATTGTTTATTTACAAAATTGTACCTATTAAAATATTTTTCATTACAAACATGTCTTTATTTCATACTTCTTCGGGCAGAATTCCAAATAACCAACAGGAGATTTATGAAGACTTACCTCCTTCTTACGATGAATCACAAGCATTAGGTATTTAAACATTAACTTTTCTCTTTAAGATCATTGTAATTAATTTACACAATAAAATTTTGTAAAATAAAATTTCAACAACAATTATATCAAAATGACTACTTTTTTTCCAGTCGTTGAACAAGTCGAAACTATTACTGAAGAAGTTGTTACATCTTCTGAAGGTATAATTTATAAATTATTTATTAAAATTACATATATTAATATTTATTTGATATTTAGAAGCAACCTACTTGTCAGAAAGACTGACAAGTGAATTTTCCCAATATGAGAACAAAATTTGTTCTCTAGAAAACTCTATTAAGATGCTACAAAAGCATCTTTTAATTTATCAAATTTTACTTTTTGTTTTTTTATTTTTTATTTTTATTTCTTGGATGTACGTTTATAAGGTTCATAATATGAACCTTGAATTACTTAGAGAACAAGTTGGAGTAGAAATGAAAAAAATTCTGTTTAATGAAAACTTAGATAGAATTATTAATTTTTTAGATTCTCATAGAATGTAATGAAGATAAATAGTTAAACTATTTATTTTCTGTTAGTTTTCTTTATTTACGATGGATTTGAATTTAATTAATAAATTCAAATTCATCATGAATGAAGAAAACTTCAATATATTTTATATTTTAATAAACAAAATTGAAATTAAATTTTTTAATAAATAAATATTTACAAGTATAAAATAATAATAACTATAAATAAACACCAAATATTAATTACTATATGCTTATTTAAAATTTATTATCGATATAATTATATGAATACATATGATATATAAAAATAAAAAATTTCAAATCATCAATAACATATTGATTTTACATATAAATATTTTTAATATAATAAGAAAATAAATAACTATTTCTAATCTTGACTAGATTGAATGCTCATAGGAGAACACATACAGTTTTTAGTCTTTTTCTTTAATTTTTTATTTTCCTTTGCTAAATATGCATTTACTTCAATTAATTGACTTTTTTCTTTTTTATGTTGTTCAAGTTCTTTTCTTAATTGATTTAATTCATTATTTGCTTGTGTAATTTGAGACAATTTGCTTAATTCAGCTTGTAAAAGTAATGCATTATTTTTATGACTTTGAATTAAGTGTTGAGGATTTAAAATTTGATATAGTTGAAATCATGTAGGAAGTTCATGATTATAAATCGGCATTCTATTATTAATAAAAAAAATTAGTTATATTTTTTTAATTAAGTAAAATAATACACATACTCACTTAAGTGTTACAAAGATAAGTTGGTAGGGATGTGGTAAAAATTTCATTTTTTTTTTATTTAAAAAATTAGTTATACTAAATTATTAAACACACTACATTTTAATTTTAAGTTCTTATATATATAATAATTAAACTGCGTATTACTAAATATGGTTAGTCATTACATTGTTTAACTATAAATAAACACCAAGTTCTTTTTAACTATTATATCGTTATATAAAAATTTATTATAAAAATGTCAAAACTTTACAATTTTATACAAAAGTTGTTGCCAGAAAAAATGTCTGGTAATAACATGACAAAAAATCAACTTTTAGCAGAAGTTAATAGACTAATGACAGCACTTGATGATCAAAAACGAGAAATGAAAGAAACTCATGCTAATGAAATCAGTCTTTACCGAGAATTAATTACTGCAAAGACAAATGAAATTACAAATTTAATGTCTACAATTGAAAATTATAAAAAGGAAGTTGAAAGAATCGAAGAAACAAGAAAAAAACATGAATATGAATATAGCGAAAGATTGAAAGAAAAAGATAAGATCCTTAAACATGAAAAAAAAACTTATAAACATGAAAGAGAAACTCATAAACATGAAAAAGAAGAAAGAGAAAAAATATATAAACGTGAAACAGACCTTATGCAACAAACTATTAATCGTTTAGAACAAACTATTAATAATTTACAAACTCAACTTAGAAATTATGAAAATGTTTCTACCCCTAAATACTAAGTTTTTTACTTCGATTTTTTTATTTATATTATTATTTAAAATTATTTTATATTTAAATAAATATGTATTATCTATTATATAAATAAATAAATCAATTATACTTACATAAAATATTTTTAAATATATCTAATCATTTAACTATCAATAACTAAATATTATTTAATTCAATAAAAATTCTTATCGAGCTATTTCAAAAAAAATAAGACTCATGAAAGTTAATTTACTAAAAATAGTTTAATTCAGAGATATAACTCATGATAACCAATTTACTAAAAATAGTTTAATTTAATGATATGACTCATGAAAGCCAATTTACTAAAAATAGTTTAATTTAATGATATGAGTCATAAAAGCCATTTTACTAAAAATAATTTAATTCAAAGATAAGACTCATGACTCATAAAAGCCATTTTACTAAAAATAGTTTATTTTAAAAGAAAATTCTATATACAATTAAATAATAATTACAAATCGAAAAAAAAAATTAAAACTATATGATTGGTGCAATCTTATTATGAAGTAATTTGTTATTGTTCTCTATTATAGAAATAAGATGACCATTATTTTTTTCTATCGTACCAATAATCTCATTGTACATATCAAAATATTTGTTGTACAATTCAATTTTTTTTGCTTCTAAAATCAATATTTTATTCTGAGAAGCAAAATATAAACAAACTACAATAATTAAAGAAAACAAAAGAATTCAAAACATTCTTTTGTACTATTTTAAATCTCTTGTTGCTTGATTTACATAAGTATCAGTTATTGTAGATTCTAAAATAGTATAAATAAAAATTAAACTTTATTCAAAAACAATCGATAAAAATTCATTTTACCTAAAGATGCTGGATATTCATCTGAAGAAGAATAAAGTTCTTCTTGATTTGGTGGAATGCATTATTTGATGTACGATACAAAGAACCAGATGCAACAGCAGCATGAGAAATGTTATATGAAGACATTTTTGTATAAATTTTTTGAATTTTTTTTCATTATCGGAAAAACATTCACATCTTTTATATTATTTTCATACCTATGTTGTTTCTTTTACTTTTTCCTTTTTTGTTGGACCCCATTTTGATTTTTCAGGAATGATGCATATTACCCCAACTTTTGTACAGTTTTTGCATTTATTATCATCATCAATCACACATCGTACTTTGTTTTTTCTACATCTTTCACATGCAACTGATGAACGTTTAGCATTTCTATTTGGTTTTGTTCGTATTCTATCCATTTTTTGTTTAAAATTTTAAAGTTTTTAATTTGTTCTTTTATATAATTATTACTTATCATTTATCTAATCAAAAATTTTTAATTTTACATGTAAAATTATTTTTTATATATATAAAATTTAATGTAATATACGTATAAATAATATAATACTTTATTTAGTAAAAATAATACATAATAAAATTTTAAAAAAAAATTAATTAAAATTCGTCCCAATCTAATTCCTTAGCGTTACCAAGTGATTCTAATGCTTTATCATAATTTTTTTGTGCTGAATTTTCTAACGCTTGTAATTTTTCAAAATTAAAAATAACTAATTTAATATCAGGTTTTCCATCAAAAGAAGCATTATATTTATTATCAGAAAAAACATAATCTTTAACTTTAATCCAACCGATACAACTCCAAATAATATAAAAATTATTACCACTTTTATAAGCACCATTTATTAATATTTCTACATTACTTTCTTGAGTTTCACCTTCATCTGGCCAATAAGGAAATTTTTCATAATGTTGTTTTTGAATTTCTTCTGCTAAAGCTTTTCTTGCTGGATGTAAATGTTCATTTAAATTATATTCCAAATAATTTTGAGGATCTTCTATTGTCATTTTACTACAAATATTTGCTAAATAACTTTCAATTGCAAGTAAATAATCATTTCATGCTTTTACATTATCTTCATTAGAATTATGATTAACTGCTATAGTTTGATTAAATACTTTAGTAAATAATGCACTAGCAGATTTTAATTTAGATAATGTTTGATCTGGTTTCACATCAAATAATTTTTTAATGATAGGATATTTTGCATTAAGTTTTTTTATAATAGTTGGTTCTTGACAAATAACTTTGGTAATGTCTGACATTTTAAATTTTATATTAAAATTTTACGTAAATTTTTGATAAATTTAAATATATTTTTCAACAATATAAATAATTACTATACTAATTAAGTATTATATAAATAAATAATCTAAATATTTATACTGTTAAAAAATATATTTAAATCTATCAAATTCTTTACGTTAATATCAAAAATGGCTTCTAAAAAAAAAAGTACTCAAGAAATAAATATCAGAAAAAATTCTCAATCATCTAACGAATATGATAAAACTAAAGTTATTTGTTATGAACCTTCCATCGCATTAATTTTAAAAGAACAAATACCTAATATTGCTAAACTTTTTAAACAAAAACCAAATTCTACTTTAAAATTTTTAAATGCTGAAAATAAAAAATATACAATTAACTTTAATTTAAAAATCGATGAAAACGATGATCCTAAAGAATTATTTTTTAATATTATTAATGAAAAACTTGATAATAATTCTTTACTAAATCCTATAAATGAATGTATTTCTGATACTTTATATAATTCTTTTATAGACAAAAATATTAATTCTGAAACAAATTTTGAAATTAACATCAATAATTATTATAATAATGAAGAAAATTATATTATTTGGAGTTGTATCGGTTGGATTAATGTTAAAAAAAATGTAGAAAATAAATTTGAAATATCTAAATCTATTGATATTAAAATAGTTATATTTAATTATAACAATGTAAAAGAATTAGAAAATACTAATTTTGAAAAAGCGTTAGAATCTTTTGAAGATAATAATGATCTATATTTTGATAATTTATAAATTTTTATTTATTAAATTAAAAATATATTACAACATGTAACGTTTAAAATTATTATAAATATTAAATATTTCACATTTTTTTTAAAAAAATATAACAACAATGATTGATTCTTTACTTAATAAATTAAATAAAATTCGAAAACAAAATAACTTAAAACCTTTAGAATGGAATACCCATTTAATTTTTATAGCAAAAAAACATGCAGAATGTATTTCTTTAAAGAATAAATTTGATAAATGTTCTAATGTCAAAAACTTTTTTTATCATGATATGCAATATTATAATAAAAAAACTGAAGATGAAGTATTTGATACTTTAATAAAAAATCAAAAAAACAAAACAATTTTATTAGATAAAAACTACAATCATTTTGGTGCCTCTTATAAAAATAAACATTGGATATTAATTTTTGGTTGCTTATATGCAACAGAAAAAATTGATCTTAAACTTTTATTAGAATTTACAAACAAAGAAAGAACAAAAATCAGTATTAAAAAACTTGAATTAAATAAGTAAGTATATTATTTTTTAAATTTTTATAAATATATTTTAATCTTATTTTAGTCAATTAGTAGAAGCAGCACAAAAATATGCTGAATATCTTGCGAGAAATAAAATTTTTGATCATATTCCAAATGCAAGAAAAAAAATCTCTGAAATTATTTGGATAGAAAATCTTGATCGATCTTATGAAAATGAAAAAGAAGCAGTTAAAGGTTGGATGAATTCTCCTGGTCATAAAAAACAAATTATTAATAAAGATTATACTTATTTTGGAGCTGGATTTACTAAAGATATTTGGGTACAAGCATTTGGAATGAATAGTTAAATATTTTTATATACAATAAAATTCTATATATATTTACATGTATCGCTTTTTATTTTTTTAAAAAAAATTAAATAAATAAAGTATGTTTATTTTTTTTTCTTTATTCTTATAATTTTTATTCTAATTTAATTTTTCTTTTAGTATGAACAAGAAATTTTTTTTTCTATTTTTTTTATTTTTCTTATGCTTCGTCTCTTCTGAGACATTAAAAAGTAGAAAATTAAGTTGTTCAACATGCCGTAAGCAAGACGTTATCTTGTATGGTTTCAACAAACGAACTCATATTAGTGTTGGAACACATAAATGTAAAAATCAAAATAATAGAATCTATAGATGTAGTATCTGTGGTAAAACAGGACACAACAAATGTACACATAATCGTAAAGTTTAAAAATTTATGAACGTTATCAATAACGTATATGTATTTAGTTTTTAACTTTAAACTTTATTTAAAAATAAAATATATAAATAATTAAATATAAATAAGTATAAAATTTAAAATTTCACGCCAACAAAAACTATCTGATAATTGAAATTAACAAAATGATTACTACTCTAATTGTAATTTCTATAATTTTCTTAATTGCATATTCTTATACGCAACAATAACTTAAATGAAATGCAAACAAAGTATGTTTTTTTTATGAATTACTTTAATTAAAGAACAAAAATATTTATATAATCCTTATTTTAATATTAGAATCAATTGCAGAATATATAAGAATTTAAATAAATACTATAAATCTATTTATGATTTTGTAGAACTATGATAGTTAATTCACGATTAAATAAATAGTTTAAATAATAGATAAAAAATATGATTGTGATTATGTAAATTATTAAAAGATCGCTAACAGTTCTTAAAATAGGTAATCTAAGTAGATACAATACTATAAATACTAAAGGTAAAATTATTTTTGTAAAAAAATGCTGTATGAATGTCCAATTTCTAGGATATATTTTTTCAAAAAAATGTATTGTATTAAGTATATTTAAAATAAAAACTGGTATCATATTTCTTATCAACGTAATTAATTTTTTTATATACTTTAATTCTAAAATAAAGAACACTAACATATCAAGTAAATTATTAAACCATTCTTTGATTGTTCATATTAATTCTTCACAAAGACATCTTTGTAATATTGTACTTCACACGCTAAATTTAAATTAATTAATTTTAATGCATTGATTGTTTCATTTTGCTCTTCATAAACTCTATTGTAATCAGTTATTGTTAAATTGCTAACTTGTTTTAATATTCCTATTGTTTTATCCAAATCTATATTTTCTTTGTTTTCAATAGCTTTACGTATTTTTTCAATCTCATCATTTAAAATAATTTTCTTTGTTTCCAAATCACTATCATTCGAACTTTCTGATGCAGTATTATGTTCTTTATTTTTAGAACTACTTGATATATTTTTGTTATCAGAAATAATTAAAAACAAATAAAACTTAAGAAGTTTATTTATAGTAATTCTTAATTTTCAAAGCTAAATAATAACTCATTTCAACATAATCCAAGTGATACTTTAAATATAAATTTAATAATCCGCATATAATATAAATATAAAAAATCGTAATAAAAAACTATAAAAAAATAAAATTAGTTACAGTTTTAAAAAAACATTATTAACACATTCTTACTTTAATTATCCAAATGAATAATGTTATCGTTGTCTATAAAATAAAGTTTATTATATATTATACTTAAAAAAATAATAAATAAATAAATATAAACTTACAAAGCTTGTTGCATAAATTATAACTTCATAATAATATTCATTAAAAAAAGAATCCAATGATATATATTGACATATCGCATAATCGCGCAGTGAAGATGAAAAATGCCATAAATAAACATTGGAGCAATCATTTTTATTTAAAAATATAGATAAGTAAATACATCTTATTTATATAAAATTTAAGTAGTACAAATAAACTAAAAAATTATACATTTTATATTTTTATCGGATACAAAATTTACTATAATAAAAATACTTATTATAATAATAATATCAATTATATGATAACATATTATAATAATATTTTTTTAGTTTTTTCTAAAAGATCACTTGATTGATCATTTATTTTTTTTTTATGAATTACTTCTATTTTCTGTTGTATCAAGATTAAATTGATATTCATTGGCAAGTTGTTCTAAAGTACTTGCAATATCATCAGCTTCAATAGGAGTTGGTACCTAAAAATCACCTATTTTTGCTTTAATTTCTTCAGTTTTATTATTAATAAGTTTTTTCAAATCTTCATTATCAATTTTTTTAAGTGCTTCATTAATTTCTTTCAAATCATTATCAATATTTAAATTTTGTAATGCTTCTTTAACAGCTTTTTCAACAGTTGGTCCAATATCATTTAACGTCTTTAACAAATCATCATAAAGTTTTTTTTGATTTTGTAATTCATCATCTTTTTGTTTTAAAATTACTTCTTTATCTTTAAGAATAATTTGAAGTTTAGCAGAAGCTTCAGCAATTCTCTGCTTTTGGTTTTGAGTATAAGTTGAAACAACAGAATCAGGACATGGTGTTTGTGATTCTGATGTAGATGACATTTTTTAAAAAAAAATAATAAACATAAATGTTTCTTTTATATTTATTTTAATATTAAACTTTATTTTAGTATAATAATATAAATAAACTAAATAAATAAACCACATCATGATTAAATAATTCTTTATCATTAAAAAATGGTTCTCGGATATTTATTTGGATTAGTAACAAGATAGGCAGCATCAAGTCTTTTTGCTACAAGACTTTATAATAATACCTCTCAATATTATTATACAACTGGTTATCGTAAACCAAATGCTAATAATTATAATACCACTTTAAATAAACTAAAAACTCAACTTAATACTATAAATTCTTCTTATAATAATATTAAAAATTTATATAATCAAACAAACACATTATATCAAACTACACAAAAACTTTTAACTGAAAAAGAATTACAACTAAAAGAAGAAATTAAAAAATATAATGATGCTAAATCTAAACTTGATGAATTGTATACACAATTTATTAAATTATCTGTTAATAATGAAACATTAAAAAACTTATTAACACAAGAACATAATAATTATTTAAATGAACTTAAAGCTCATGCAATCACCAAAAATTCATTAATTAATGCGAATAAAAAACTTAATGAAAAAACCAAAGAAGCAAAAAAACATAAAGAAAATTATGAAAAAACATTTAAAGATCTCCAAACAGAAATCTTAAAAAATTATAAAAATGAATTACTTTTAGAAACAAAAGATAGTGAAATTAAAAGAATAACCAACCAAACAAGAAAAGATTATGAAGATGCTAAAAATGAAATCAAAAAATCGATAAAAGAAAAAGACAAATTTAAAGAAAAATATGAAGATATATTTGAAAAACTCTTACAAGAAATATTAATCAACTATAAAAATAATTTAACGACCAAAAATAACAATGATAAAATTACTGAACTAAAAGATAAATCTAAAATAGTAAATAATAAATTAAATGAAATGACTAAAAGAAGAAATGAATATGCTAGAAAATATCAAGAAATGATAAAGAAACTTAATGATGAGGCATTGGAACATCAAAAAACCAAAGAAAAATTAAAAAATGAAAAAATTCGTCATAAAAAAACTAACAATCTTTATAAAACTAAAAAAGAAAAACTTATCGAAGAAAGAAAAAAAATTGGAAAAACCAAAAAACTTAGTCAACGAAAAAAAGAAGCATTATTAAAAGAAATCAATGATGCATTAGAAAAAAATAAAAATCTTAAAAAACAATTCCAAGAAGAAGAAAAGAAAAGAAAAAAACTAGAAGAAACGACTAAAAAACTTGAAGATAAGTATAATAAAAAAATTGGAGATTTACAACAATTATTAAAGGATAAAAATGATACAATTAAAAAATTAAAAAATGAACAAAACACTTTAAAATTAAAATATAACCAATCACGTAGAAATTTTAACAAAATAAAGACAGACTTAGATGATTTAAAAAAATTAATCGAAGAAAGTAAATCACTAAAAACTAATCATGAAAATCTTTTAAGTAACTATGAAACACTTAAAAAAGAAAAAGATAAATTAGAAAAAAATAACAAAGATTTAGAAACTAAATCATTAAATAACGAGCAAAAATTAAATGATATTAATAATAATATTAATGATCTTATTAATATAGTTAAATCGCTTCCTCCAAATCTTTTACATGAGATTAACATTCATTTAGATAAATTAAAACCAGAAATTATTGATGCTGCTGATACAGCTTTTACTTTAGAAAAATTAGTTGAAACATTTGGTTAATTTTATTATGTTTTATATTTTTATCATTATTTTATTTATATTATATTTATATTTGTATTAAATATTTAAAAATTAAAAATAAACGAATTAAACATATTTTTTATCTTTTCTTCTTTAATATATTCAATTTTTTTTCTGTTTACCAAAACCTTAGTTACAACATCTAAAAAATTTTTTTTTTCACCTTCTGTTTCATATTCAAGCATCAATTCTGATAAACTCTGTTGTATAATATTGATATTTTTTTGTGTTATATCAAGAATATTCGCTAATGAATTTTTATATTGATCGATAATAACTTTAATACTTGCTATCACATCTATTTTTTCTACAGGAAACTTAAATGGATTATTCCAAGATATACTTGCTGGAACAAATATCATTGGATGTTTTCGTAATTTTCTAAAATTTTTATGTTTTGTAATCTTTCTTTCGATAGCATTGCTTTTTTTCTAGGCTCTTCGTACAAATAATTATTTAGATTATTAATTATATCTTTCATCTCATTAATCTTTGTTGTTTTGTAATTTTTTTCAAAAAAGAAACGAATCATCTTTTCCCAATACCCATTTATAATACAACACATCTAATAATGATCATTTATCTTGTATTGTATCATAAGCTTTTTTAATAATTTCAGAAACAGTTTTAGTTTTTGTACGAGGAAAATATTTTCTTTGATCTTCAGCACTTAATGTTTTTTTATATTGATTAATTATATACGTTATTTGCTGATCTACTGTTCCTGCTAAATTACGATCTAAATCTGCTTTATCAGGATTTGTTGTTGGTTGATTACTTTCTTCTATTGGTCATTTTGCTTGTGGACGTTTAGGTACTTCTTCTAGTTGTTGTAAATATTGAATTCTTTTATTCAATAATTCTTGAAGTATCGTTTTATTTCGTTCATTTGTCAAATATTCATATTCAATTTTTTCAATAGCTTGCATCCAAGTAGTTTTTAATTTATCAATATTATTTTCATTTTCAATTGCTGATTTTAAAATATCATATAATCCATCATTATAATTCTGCTTTCTTGTATTTTCCAATAATACTAAATCTCGATTTCCAGTTAATAAAGTTTGATTTAACATTTGTATATCTTTTGAAATTTCAGAATCTGATAATATTTCATTAATATTTTCACTATTATGAATTAATTCTAACAATAAATCATAACTCTGATTTTCATCGTTACCATAAAGAGAATCTAATTGTGATCTTCTTGCTTGATCTAATTTATTTTGTGTTCTTTCACTAGTTAAATATTTTTGTCTAATTTTATTTATTTGATTAACATAATATCCATCATCTTTTAATCTTTCAATATCTTTTGATTGTTGAATTTAATTAATAACAAATCATAAATTTTATTTTCATTTTCACTATTAAGAGAATCTAATCGTGATCTTCTTGCTTGATCTAATTTGTCTCGTGTTCTTTCATTAGTTAAGTATTCTTGTCTAACTTCCTTTATTCGATTAACATAATAACCACCATCTTTTAATCTTTCAATATCTTTTGATTGTCGAATCTCATTTAATAATGAATCATAATTTTTATTAATTAATAAAACTAATCGTTGTTTTCTTAAATCTTGTAATATTTTTTTCTGATCTTCATTTAATGATGCATTAAGTTGTATCATTTTATCATAATGTCCTCTATCTATTAAATTACCAAAAAAACTTTCATTTTCTATTTCTTCTTGAAATCTTGTTAATTCTGTATTTCCACAAAGATTTCTAATTTTTTCATTACGTATATTATGTAATTCACGTTTTTGTTGAAAAGTAAGATCATTATCATCATCAATTTCATCTTTTATATCGACTTGTAATTTAACAATATTAGATTCTTTACTTATTTTCTCATTAATATTGTTAATTTTTTCTTGTTGTATACTTTTTTGATATTTCTCATTTACTAAATCAAATAAAACTACTTTTTGTTCTGCTGTTAATCTTATTTCATTTCCTATTGCTAATTGAATTTCTCGTAATTGTAATGAGACATCAGTATTATTAATTATTTCTTTATAATATTGCAAAAGATCTTGTTGTAATTCATTTAATTTTACTTTTCTATTTTGTTGTAATAAATTTTTCCCATGAAAAGTTATATCTGATCGCTTTATCAAATTATCTATAACTTGATTTTCTTTCAAATTATCAATATTTTCTGTCTCATTTATCATTTCATTAATTCTGTTATTCAACTCTTGCTTACGTTCATCTTGAAGTTGACTTTTTTCTTCAAATATTAATAAAGAATTTGCAATATTATTATAAATTTGTTCATTTAAAAATAAATCTTCTAAATTCGAATCTTTAATTGCTTTTTTTAAATTTTCAATCAAAATAGTATTATCTGGAATTTGTTCATCATTTTGTTCAGGAATCTGATTCTGATCTTCAGGTATTTGTTCATTTGAATCTTCTTCATCGGGTATTTGTTCATTTGAATCTTCTTCATCAGGTATTTGTTCATTTGAATCTTCTTCATCAGGTAATTGTTGTTCATTATTATTTGATTCATCATTTTCTTTTGGTAAATTTTCATTATCATTAGGTTTTCACTATTCATTATCCAATAATGATGGATTAGTTATAGAAATTTTATTAATATCTTTAATTTTTTTTTGTATAGTGCCATATAGAGCAATATACAAATATTCTCGATAATTTTCATCATTTATTTTTTCATCTTCTTTTTTACGAATCTTTATCGCACAACAATTTATAAATAAATTATAATTATAATAACATTCACAAAACATTTTAATTTATTTTTTATTCTGAACATAACATGTATTTATAGAATTTATTGAAAATAAAAATAATAAATAAAATATATTAAAAAAAAAAATAAAAATATAATAACTAAAATATAATAACTAATTAAATATCAGTATCATCATCATCTCCTTCATTTTTAATAACATTATTATTATTTTTTTGTAATTTCTAAAACCTTTTGAAACACTCGTTCACCAACATTTTCTGCAAATGCTGATAAATTTTTATGATTTTTTACTGCTGGTGCATAAGCTATTTCTGCTTCAAATTTTGTAAAATATACTGGATATCCTGCATTGAATCCACCATAAGGAGTTCCTAAATTAATCTTTTCATTAACAGATATTGTATCACTATTTAAACAAGCTTGATATAAATCATCCATATAATCTACAATTATGAATAATCTATAATTCGCAATATTATAAATTATACTCTCATTTGTATTCGTAGATAATATACAAACATCTTTTTCTTCTTTTTCAAACTCTCGACATATCGTAACTATATGAGGTTTAAATACACATCCTTCACATAGAATCACAACACTAAAATGCATTATTGGTGTAATTTTTTCTTCATTAATTTCATGTTCACTAATATTAGTTGGATCAATAAGAACATCCTCAATTGTAAGATCTTCTTTTTTTACTAAATCTTTATCACAAATTCTTACAAAATAAAAATCTATTTTAAATGGTGAAAGTAATTTTGTTAATGGTATATTTGTTCCAGGAATATTTGCTTTATCATTTAAATTATTAGGATTAAATGATACCATTTTAATTTGTGCTACAAAATCTAATAATTCAAAAGATGTGAATCCCACTTTATTTTTTTTTTGAAGTAATGGAATTGAATAAAATCGTCTGTCTACTGGTACAAAATTTTTATCTTGTTCAAAAATATTAATTATGTCTGACATATATCCAAATGGTCTCTTGAATTTACAAACATTATAAGCATGTAAATCTCCACATTTTCCAAGTGAACAAACTTTTTTACTAAATGATCTACCTCCATCATCAATAACTTTTCATTTTCTTGTTGTTGTAACTGTTGTAGACATTTTAAATCACTTTATAGCGTCCATAATTTCTACAATAAGTACAATCTGGTTTAACTAAAGTTTTATTTTTTTGATATTTAATATTATTAGTAGATTGTGTTGATTTTTTCGATTTACTGTTCAGTTTTTTTTTTACTTTTCCAGTCGTTTCAGATTTCGTAACTTGTTTAGCTTTCGCTGTTTTCTTTTGTTTTTTTTTAGCAGCCAGTTTGAATTAATATTTATCAATAAATTTTATTATTTCTTGTAATGCTTCTCGTGTATAATATGTAATTATGTTTATAATATTAATAAGATCAGATTTATAAATATAATATATTAATGTGGATTGGATTATTATCATAAAAAATAAACATATACTAAGTAAAGTAAATGTTGATTTCCATAAAAAAGGAGTTTCCATTTAGAGAGAAAAAAAAATGTAAAAGAAGTCTATTTATATTTTTTTTTAATTTTCAAAACATTCTAAACCATTACAATATGTAATAAATTCTTTTTGTTTTTTTCTTGGTAATTTTCTTTTAAGATATAATTGTTTAGGTTTATGAACTGGTTCATACATCGGAGTAGAACTTTTACTATTAAATTTTTGAACATAAATTCCATCAGGATAAAATTTAGTTAGATCACCATTCTTTTTCAAAATAACTTCATATTTATCTGTTTTTTGATTTCAAGTATATAATTTTGGTAAAACAACAATTTGAGATTGAATTACTTTACTTGATCGTTTAGTTCTTGCTTCATATATATTTGTAAAAATTAAAAAAAATAATAAAATAATAAATTTATTCATTTTTATAAATAAAATTTAAATATTGATGTATATTTATAACTTTTAATTTGTTCTTGGACATCGTTTTGGTCTTTGTTGATCATCATTACTACTATCATCTTCTCTTCGACGTCTACTACCAACTATAGATTCAGGAATATCATTTAATAAATCAATATTTGTTCCTGATTCAACATTATGATTTATCCATTCTGCAAACAACATTGCTAAATATTGAGATGTTTTTGTTTTATATTGAAAAAAATTATCATCAATAAAAGTTCTATCAATATTTGTATTCCATAATATATAAAGTTCTTTTGCTCGTCGTAAATCTGTTGCTGATCTAAATGTTTGATACATTAAATTAAATGTTTCTTTTACTTTATTAAGTGTTTTTACTATAGTATCTCTAGATACAAAAGGTAATAATTCATTAGTATCTTGCAATTTTTTAGTATATTCAAAATCCATTTGTGGATCATCAGGTACTTGTTCCATCATTTTTCTATAATATAATGCTTCCTTATATAAATGAGTCATCATTTTATAATTTGATGATAAAGAATTCCAATTAATAGCATAATTTCCATTTAATAACTTTTGTTTAATTGCATAATCCCAAAAATCATTATTAGCTAAATTATTCAAAAGCATTTCATTATTCATATCTGTTAATAAACGACGTAATTCTGAAAATGAATTATCTAATAATGGTGGTTTATTAATACGTATATCTTCCATATCAAATATTACTTCAACTTGTGAAAAATCATTTTTATTAGGAATATTGAAATCAGGTTGTTTAGGTTGTTTAGGTTGACTTGTTGATGGTTGTTTAGATTGTTCATTTAATGGAATTTTTTGAGGAAGTATATTAATTCATTTATTTATTACTTTAAAGATTCCAAATAACATCATTTGATATAATTCAAAATCATTAAATTGTTTTTGTTCTTCTAATTCTTTTTCTATTAAACAACAATTTGTATATGGCTCCCAATTGTAACGACATCTACATATTTCTTTAGAATAAACATTTAATATAAAAATTAAAAATATCAAAAATTTAAACTTCATTTTGTTTATTTTCAAAATAAATTAAATATTACTCATATTTATATTTTTTATAAATACAAAGATTCTGTTTTGTAAAGATAATTAAAAATGAAAAAATCAAAAATATCAATTTATTTTGAAATTTTAGAAATAAAAGAAACTGCTACTAAAGCTGAAATCAGAAAAGCTTATCATAAACAAAGTTTAAAATAGCATCCTGATAAAAATCCTAATAATATTGTTGAAGCAACAAAAAAATTTCAAGAAATAAATGAAGCTTATGAAAAATTACTTGAATTTATCAAAAAATGACCAAAGAAAACTAAAAAGAAAACTCATAAACCTAGAACAAAGAAACAAAAGAAAACATCTAAACCCCAATCAAAAAAAATAAAAACAAAAAAAACAAAAAACTCTGATGATAATGATGAATTTATTAAACATTTTTTTAAATTTATGAATAATTATATGAATAATAAATAATTTATTTATGTTGATCTCCACACAAAATTGTTTACAAATCGAATCGTATTTTCTTTTGAAAATCTGTTAAAACATTCTTCACATAAATTATGATAATGATTAATCTGATAATTATAATAAATATCTATAATACCATCTTTAAAATATAAATTACATGAAGGAATATTACATTCACTAAATACAGGCATCTGACCACATTTTTTATAAAAATTACATTTGTCACATTGTCTCGTTCCAACTTCCCATTTACGTACTGCTATTAATTTTTCTCCTCGATTATAAGGTGAAACACAATAATAATTTTCTTTTCCATCTCTACTTAAAGGTTTTCGAATACTTTTACTTGTGCATACACATTTAATTCCATCTAATATACAATGTTCACATCGTTTCTTAAAATCACACCATCCATGTCTTTTTTTTTTAATACATCCATCACATGGTAATTGATCACCAGAAAATTCAACAAATGATCTTTTTGCTTTTTTTGTTTTTGGTAAATATATTGTTGTTGCTTTTAACTCTTGTGGATAAATGCTATAATTGACTGTATGTCGTACCCATACATCACGTTTAACTTGAGGAAATATATATTCATCAAATCTTCTTTTATAAAAACTACATGATAATGCAAAATATAACATTGATTTATTATCCAAAAAATCAAATATTCTAAATATTGTTTCAAATGGAAGTTTATTCATTTTATTTTACTTTACAAACTCAAGAAGAATTAAGTGTTTTTATAATTTTTAAAGTTACACAAAATTATTTAAATTCTATTTGATAACCATTTCGATTTCCTGTTTCCTTATCATGTGCTAGTTTAAAATCGATAGCTTGTTGTTTTGCTTGTTCACTAGTTCTATTTTTTGTAATACAAAATATTTTATATTTTTTTTTACTATTTTTATACCAATTAAATTCCCAAGATTTATGAAATTTATTAAAAATAATTTCATTGAATCCTGATATATTATTTTTTTGTAATTTACGATTTAAAGCATTTAAATATGGTGTTGTTTCTTGTAAATTAAATTTACGATTATCCATTCCAATCCTGTTAATATGGTCAATTATCTTCCATTCTGGATAAATCATTCGATGAAATTGTAAAGTTTTATTTTTTTTACTAGAAGTTTGAATATAAAATGTATTGTCAATTTTTCTTTTATGACAATACCAAGTATAATTTTGTATAAGATTAAAATTATCAGGATCACATAAAAATGTGATTTTTTCTAATTGTGTCTTGACTTGAAGACATAATTTGAAATCAATCTTTACAAGTCGATACTCATTCAATTTCAATCTTGGTTTATCAGAATTCGTATATTTTTCCCAATCAGTAATAATTTCGAAATTTTAAAACTTATCTTGCAAATTCAATTCTATTATTTTTAAAAATATTTATTTTTCTTAATCAGTATATATTTATAAACATTTTATCAAAATAAAAATTATGGAATTATATAAAAAATACTATATTTATATTTTATATTTACTTATAATAAACTTTTTTTAAAACTTAAAAAAATAATTATATATTTAATCATAAATTATGCTTGCTATATAATAAAATTCACCATTTTGGCAAGCTCGCCGCTTGGCAAAATTCGCCATTTTGGCAAGCTCGCCACTTGGCATCCTCTCTTCACCATTTGGCAAGATCATGTGGGTTTGATCTTATGATAGTTTGCAAGCCATAGTTCGCAAACAATCTCAGATCAAATTCTACTTAAATTTCCTTTTAACAATTGTTCAGTTATAAAATTATATGAAATAAAAAATATATCTTTAGTTCCAATAATATTATGTATATATAATGGTTCAAAATAACTATTTGAAAAAATATTAAATTCGTCAATATTTTCAATTTGATACATTTCATATATGTGTATATCAAAAATAGTAGCATCATCATTTCCAGGATAATCACAAATATGAAAATAATTTTTTAATCTAAAATTATATATTTTTTTTGGAATTAAAAATTTTCTACATTCATATTTAAAAGTTTTATAAAAATTATTATTATTACTAAAATGAATTTCATTAATTATCCATTCTTGAAATAATACTATCATCTGTTCATATATTTCA